GCGCAATGACTAATCATAACTTCTCAAGTGGCTTTGGGGCCAAGCATCTCAGCACACATCTGTATTAACATATGGCCTCTGGTCCCACACCTCTAGGTCATGGCATTGGGTGCACACAGTGGGTGTGTTCCTAGAAATCTTCCTAAGCCCAGATGCCCAGCGGCAATTGAACTGCGCGTGCACTGAACCGCCAGAAAGGGGGCAGGGTGGTGGGGGCGTCAGGCTCTATCAGCCTCACGGCGGTCACGTGCTGCAGGTGGGAGGGATGCACAGAGACAGCGAGACCCAGCCCTGCCTCAGGCCTGGCACTGAGTGTGGGGAGTGAGCAGCTGATGACGGGCACTGCACCAAGGCCGAGCGCCCTACTTCCCTAGCACTGCTCCCAATGCAGGCTGGGGCAGCAGGGAAGGCCAAGGTGGATTTTAATGAGTTGAAGGAGGGGGCACCCCAGTTGGTACGGTCAGGTACTGTTTGCCCTGGGGCTCAAATCTGCTTTAACTTGATTACCACATTTGCTGTGTACAAGATTTGTTTTTTAAAGGAGGGATTTTGCTGCTGTAATCAGGGGAAGAATTAAACTCGATTATGTCACGATGGCTTTGAAACCAAGGCTGTGTGCCAGATCTGTGCTATGCCTCTTTCTTCTAAACTGGGAGTTGGGGTCTAGCAATTTGCTAGCCTGATGTCATCTTGCTGTTAGTGCGACTTCTCTGTCACTGATCATGCTGTTGGCCAACCAGGCCCCTACCCTGCTGGGCTGTCTGTCCCTCCGCCCCCACCGTGAGCACCTGGAAGAGCTTAGCGGAGCTGCAGAGCAGTGAACAGCTGTGACCCGTGAATCATCTGTTCGGAAGAAGAGTAGAAAATAGGCGATTATCCTCTTAACCCACAACTGAGCAGATAGAGCGGTGGACCTTCCCACGGACCCACCTCCACGTCTCCCAGTCCCCTCCCTTCTGCCGTTCTTTCTGGATCTGTTTCCTTCCTCCTCACGTTTCCTCCTCTCTGCCTTCTCTCGCCTTTCTTTCTCACCAGTTTCCATTCTCCAGCCTTTCTCCTCTGGTTGTTCCTCCCTGCCCTGCTTTCTCCCCAAGGGCACATGTACTGTGGAAAGGAGGCCTTGGGCCAGGTGTTTTGTATCTGAAGCAAAAGTTTTTTAACTTTGGTAGCAGGTGAGTTGCTCTCAGTTGACTCCTGGAGTCAGCCCTTCTGTCCTGGACCGTGTTCCCTGCAGTTGCTGGACCTTTGTCTGCCAGGTCCCTAGGAGCCATTTCATTAAGTGACCTTAGTTAGGTTCACGCAAGGTTCAGATGTGCACGGCCCTCTGTCCGTGCTAATCCTCTGCAGGATTTCCCTGCTGCTGACATCATCCCATGGCTTTCCTGGTTAGCCGGCATCCTCACTCTTCACCAGAATCCTGGCTTTTCAGTTCTCCTCCAGGCGTTTCCTATGGCCGACACTGAACACGGGCTGGGCCGCGGAAAGGGCAGCGCATTGTGGGAGAAGAATGTCTGTTTGACCGAAGCCTGTGTTCTAATGCAGTCCTGCTGGGAATTTGGCGGGACACTGTGGGCTGTTAGCTCCGTTATGACCCCCAGTTTCCAGCCTCAGTCGTTGGGTGGATTCTGAGTGATTATCTGAGTGAAAGCACCTTAGAAATGACACTTCGGCATACAAAATCAAATACTAATATCCCCAACAGTACACCTTCTCGTTAAAAGTCTCTGAATATCTTCAGGGGAAAACAGTCATTCATCTAATTAACACGTTATTTGATGGCCTAAGACAAAACTGATTTGCAAATATTTTTATTATTAAATGTTTCAAGCAACCCAAGTTTAGACAGATAGGCGAGATATGATCATTAAGTATGCGTAAGAGTTGTAAAGTTATTCTGTGTATCAATCCAGAGATCAGAAGCACATCAGTAATTGAACATGGACAGTGAAAGAAGTCTTAGGCAGGTAGAAGGGGAATAAACTACTAGGGGATAAAGAGAACTCTAAAGCAGGGTCAAAAAACTATGCCCCTGGGCCAGTTCTAGCTATTTTGTGCAAGTTTTATTCTAACACTGCCATGCCGTTTACTTTCTTAGCGTATCCATAGCAGGGTTTGCTAGTGATAGAAACCATAGGCCCACGAAGCCCGAAATACTCTCTGGCCCTTCATGAAGTTTGTGTGATCCCCGCTCTAAGAATACAGGAAGAGCAGATGCAGGGAGCAGAGGCCGAGTGCTTCAGCAGAGAGCCCCCACTCCACCCAAGACTAAGAGGCAGGCCTGGTTGGAAACAGTGGGTCATGGCCTCCTTGGTGGTGCTGAGGTTTGCCGGGGGCTGTAGGCTGGAGCTGGTGGCAGGGATCCACCTGCAGGAAAGGCTGCTGCTGGGGTAGCAACAGGCTCCCCAGATGTGCCAGCACTTCTCGCAGGGTGTGCACCCCCAGGTCTCTTACAGAAAACCCCAACCCCACCCCAGCTGCTGTACTGTAGATACAAGGCAGGAAAACAAACAAACAAACAAAGACCCAAAGCAGAGATATCGGAACCTTCCTGAAGCTCTTTCTCAGCAGTGTGCTGCCAGGCCTACTGCCATCCAGGGTACACACTGTGTCACTATCTTCTGACGAGTCTCAGGGAACCACAGCTGTGCCTGGAACAGGTGGAGCTGATGGTGCTGTGTGGAGAGCCGAGGATCCGCCAGGCCAAGGCTGCACCTGTGCAAGGTGCCCAGGGATGTCCTGGGGGATAGCTTCCCTGGCCCGTGGTCCTGCAGCACACAGTGTCAGCCAGGGAGAACCAGGGTGCCCAGGGCTGTCCCGGGGATAGCTTCCCTGGCCCGTGGTCCTGCGGCACACAGTGTCAGCCAGGGAGAACCAGGGCGCCCAGGGCTGCCCCAGGGATAGCTTCCCTGGCCTGTGCTTATATGGCACACACTGTATCAGCCAGGGAGAGTGTGGTGTCTGCCTGTCCCATTCTGCAGTATCTGTACACCTGACCTCTTTGTGATGAAATTTTAGAACACTTTCTGTACATTTGGGTTTTATTAGGAATATGGTCACAGTTGTTAGGGAAGAAGTTATTAATCATACTATCAACAGTATTTTATTGCCTTTTTATTACTATGTGCCATATAACAAACAAAAATATAGGCATGAATAATTTTTTATCTTGAAGGATATTTTTACTTTCTGTGGCAATTCTTATTTTAAAAGTAATTACTTTGGGGGCCTGCAGGTGGAGTGGTGGTTAAGAGCGCTGGACTCCCACATGGCCAACTGTGGTTCAGGTCCCAGGCCTGGTGACTTGCTTTCTCACTTTCTCTCTCTCTTTTGCTCAGTCCCTCTTTGGTCAAATTTAAATAAATAAATAAGTGGATAAATAAAGATAAATAAAATAATTCTTAAAAGAAAAAGTAATTACTTTGGGGACCAGCAGGTGTCATGGTAGTTAAGGGTGCTGGATTCCCACATAGCCAACTGCGGTTTGAGCCCTGGACCTGGTGGCTTGCTTTCTCACTTTCCTTCTCTCTCTCTCTCTCTCCCTCTCCCCCCTCCCTCTCTGGTCAAATTTTTAAAAAATAAATAAAGTTAAATAAAATCATTCTTTTTTAAGAAAGTAATTACTTTGTAAAAATCTTTTTTTTTTTTTTTTGCTTATTTTGAATGTAGAAATAGTTTAACATTATAAACATTTTGGAGGAATCACCTATATGTTCATTATTATAAATGATCAATTTCCTAGACTTCCACAATGTAACTTACATTTGATTTTCCACATTTTTGTCTCTCCCTTTATCTTGTATTTACCAGATTATTGTGATTGTACCCTTGCCTGGGCATTGCTTTTTCTCTTCCCATGTCAAAATATGTTTCTGTAGTCTACTTAAAGCAAACAATTGAAGTGAAATAGGTGTGCGAGACAGACAACTCCAGGACCTCAGCAGCTAACCCGGTAGCTGTTTCAGCTCCTGCTCCTGGGGTCGCTCCGGGCTCACTCTAAGTGAGCGACGTCTGCTTAAAGCAAACAATTGAAGTGAAATAGTTGTGCGAGACAGACAACTCCAGGACCTCAGCAGCTAACCCGGTAGCTGTTTCAGCTCCTGCTCCTGGGCTCACTCTAAGTAAGCGACGTCTGCAGGCGATTCAGCACCCAGACTCCTTCCATATTAGGGCTTCACCTTGTCCTCAGGCCTCCAAGTCCAGGCCTTGAGCCTGTGTGTATGACTGGCAGGGGAAAGTAGAGGAGGACAGGATGGGAAGGTCAAGTGGCAGGCTCTTATGGACCCCGTGTGGCAGCAACCACGCCCCTTCCACTTGCATGCCATTGGTCAGAAGGTAGTCACATGGCTGCACCTAACTGTGGAGCCTGGGAAAGGTGATACAGCTGTACTGGGGAGGAGAGAGGACAGATTTGGAAATGCATAGAGCCTTAGTCACAGTCCCCAACTTACGTGCCACATGCAGATGTCTTTAATATATTTCCTGTATGTAAATTGTCCCTTTATTATGAACAAGCGTCCTTCTGTATAGACAGAATACCGTGAAAACAACTTTTATCTTTTATTTCTGTTTCTTTTCATTGCAAAACTAATACATTGTTGGGACCAGCAGTTAGCGTAATGGCTATGTCACTGGACTCCCAAGTAGCCGACCGCAGATCGAGACCCGGACTCAGTGGCTTAAACTCACACCAGGCATGTGTGCATGCGTGCCCAAGATCCTGAGAGAATGGAGGAGAAGGGATTGCAGTGTAGCCATCCCCCCTGGGGGGGTGATTTCTCACTTTCTGTCTTTGTCTCTCTCTTTCTGGTGAGTGCACGCTCCCTATAGCAAAAATCTCTTCAAAAAAAAGAAAAACCAAAAACAAAACCAAAAACAAAGTAATACAGTGTCATTGTTGAGAAATATAAATCTCATGTTGCAGAATGTATTACGTCCTTTAATCTTAAGAAATTGTTTTCATCTATAAGAATGTTTTACTTACATGTCTTTTCATTTTCCAGGCAAAGCCAAAGCTAATAGAGCCACTTGACTATGAAAATGTCATCGTGCAAAAGAAAACTCAGATCCTGAACGACTGTTTGAGGGAGATGCTCCTTTTCCCTTACGATGACTTTCAGGCAAGTGATGTTACATTTCCTGTCGATGGAACCGTGCTCTTGATCTTTACGGACAGGTCTTTTCTCTTGGTTCATTGTTTGGTTAGCTAATTTGCAATTTTTCGAAGATTAAAAGGAGATGTTATCTAAAACAGCCAAGTTATGTCCTTATATACTTTGTGCAGGAGTTAATATATTTAATGATATTATTTTCATATTACATGTGTATATATGTGTGTATATCTATCATATTGTTGTGTATGTGAAATTATGTATGTGTGTAGTAAATACACGCATCTGGTGTGTGTGTGTGTTTTGAAAGAAGAGCACACTCTGGGTTGATTTAGGGGCACCTGCGGCTGCTGTTGGTATAGTGGAGGTTCAGATATTTCGGCCAGGTACATTGGATTCTGGAGGATGGGCTTTGCTGGGGGCAACGTAGGATTTCCTCCCAAACTCTTTTAGGATGGTGCTTTAGGAGCCTGCGGTGAGACTTTCTGAACTGTGTGTGGACCCCAGAGAAGGGGTCAGGGTGAGCCAGGAATACCATGGAGTCTGTCTCTTCCGTGTGACTTCGGTGCTGTGGCTTGGAGGAAAAGAGGGGATCTCGGTGCAGTGAACTGCTCTCTAAGTGATGCTTGAGGTCTTCCAAGCTGTGGCATGTGACAGAGTGACCCCCAAGAAACATTGAGGATACTGAGGAGCAAGGGTGACATTCTTGCTGCAGGAAACCCAGTGGTGTTAGATTCCTGGCAACCTGAAGCCACCTCGGTCTGTATAGAGGTTCTGGTTACTTACCTTGCTCTCCTGGGACCGAATCCTGGTACTTCTTCCTGCTAAACCTCAGGGCTCTTTCCTGGTCACTTCTCTACTGATTTGTTACCATCCAAGCCTTGTGTCCTGGAATTGAGCTGCCTTATCTTTTTTTTAAGTGTCATTAATTCCACATTGTTTAATATGAAAGCTACTACATGCTTCTGAAAAATGAATTAGTATTGGGTCTCCAGAAAAGTCATGAGATGTTTTCCTATGCAAAAATGCAACAGGACTTTTTGATGACTCGGTGTGATAGGCACATACTGAAATAGTTGACATTAAAAGCCTTCCCGTCCTTTCCTTTTTCTTTTATGCCTGAGGGCATGTGCTCATAAGAAAAAGAGACAGAGAGAGGGAAAGTGCCCCTCAAGGGGTCCTGGTCATACCACGGCCCTTTTCCCTGCACTCTTCCATTCCACTGAGACACAGTCCCCAACTTACGTGCCACATGCAGATGTCTTTAATATATTTCCTGTATGTAAATTGTCCCTTTATTATGAACAAGCGTCCTTCTGTATAGACAGAATACCGTGAAAACAACTTTTATCTTTTATTTCTGTTTCTTTTCATTGCAAAACTAATACATTGTTGGGACCAGCAGTTAGCGTAATGGCTATGTCACTGGACTCCCAAGTAGCCGACCGCAGATCGAGACCCGGACTCAGTGGCTTAAACTCACACCAGGCATGTGTGCATGCGTGCCCAAGATCCTGAGAGAATGGAGGAGAAGGGATTGCAGTGTAGCCATCCCCCCTGGGGGGGTGATTTCTCACTTTCTGTCTTTGTCTCTCTCTTTCTGGTGAGTGCACGCTCCCTATAGCAAAAATCTCTTCAAAAAAAAGAAAAACCAAAAACAAAACCAAAAACAAAGTAATACAGTGTCATTGTTGAGAAATATAAATCTCATGTTGCAGAATGTATTACGTCCTTTAATCTTAAGAAATTGTTTTCATCTATAAGAATGTTTTACTTACATGTCTTTTCATTTTCCAGGCAAAGCCAAAGCTAATAGAGCCACTTGACTATGAAAATGTCATCGTGCAAAAGAAAACTCAGATCCTGAACGACTGTTTGAGGGAGATGCTCCTTTTCCCTTACGATGACTTTCAGGCAAGTGATGTTACATTTCCTGTCGATGGAACCGTGCTCTTGATCTTTACGGACAGGTCTTTTCTCTTGGTTCATTGTTTGGTTAGCTAATTTGCAATTTTTCGAAGATTAAAAGGAGATGTTATCTAAAACAGCCAAGTTATGTCCTTATATACTTTGTGCAGGAGTTAATATATTTAATGATATTATTTTCATATTACATGTGTATATATGTGTGTATATCTATCATATTGTTGTGTATGTGAAATTATGTATGTGTGTAGTAAATACACGCATCTGGTGTGTGTGTGTGTTTTGAAAGAAGAGCACACTCTGGGTTGATTTAGGGGCACCTGCGGCTGCTGTTGGTATAGTGGAGGTTCAGATATTTCGGCCAGGTACATTGGATTCTGGAGGATGGGCTTTGCTGGGGGCAACGTAGGATTTCCTCCCAAACTCTTTTAGGATGGTGCTTTAGGAGCCTGCGGTGAGACTTTCTGAACTGTGTGTGGACCCCAGAGAAGGGGTCAGGGTGAGCCAGGAATACCATGGAGTCTGTCTCTTCCGTGTGACTTCGGTGCTGTGGCTTGGAGGAAAAGAGGGGATCTCGGTGCAGTGAACTGCTCTCTAAGTGATGCTTGAGGTCTTCCAAGCTGTGGCATGTGACAGAGTGACCCCCAAGAAACATTGAGGATACTGAGGAGCAAGGGTGACATTCTTGCTGCAGGAAACCCAGTGGTGTTAGATTCCTGGCAACCTGAAGCCACCTCGGTCTGTATAGAGGTTCTGGTTACTTACCTTGCTCTCCTGGGACCGAATCCTGGTACTTCTTCCTGCTAAACCTCAGGGCTCTTTCCTGGTCACTTCTCTACTGATTTGTTACCATCCAAGCCTTGTGTCCTGGAATTGAGCTGCCTTATCTTTTTTTTAAGTGTCATTAATTCCACATTGTTTAATATGAAAGCTACTACATGCTTCTGAAAAATGAATTAGTATTGGGTCTCCAGAAAAGTCATGAGATGTTTTCCTATGCAAAAATGCAACAGGACTTTTTGATGACTCGGTGTGATAGGCACATACTGAAATAGTTGACATTAAAAGCCTTCCCGTCCTTTCCTTTTTCTTTTATGCCTGAGGGCATGTGCTCATAAGAAAAAGAGACAGAGAGAGGGAAAGTGCCCCTCAAGGGGTCCTGGTCATACCACGGCCCTTTTCCCTGCACTCTTCCATTCCACTGAGACCTTGGGCACACTCTCATACATGCCCTGCATGTTTTTCAAGCTGCTGGGGCTGGGATCTGAACCGTCATTGACTATGTGGTGTCTAGCTCCCTCCACGTAGCATGTGACCACGGTGCTATGGGGCCAGCCCACCCCTACCTTCTTTCTAATCGCACTCCCAAGAACATAACTTTGTACAGTTGTATGTATGCTGAATTGTCTTTAGAAACTTCCATGTCAATAACAATGATTAAATTACAATCTTGGAGTGTTTTTTTTTTCAACCAGGTTTAGAAGACTTTAGTTTACAACAGAGGCAAGAATTTTCACAAACATCCACTCTTTCTTACTTGCATCTTACATGGGCAGAAAAATTATCCTTTAGTTCTTCTTTTGGGGGTGGGGGAGAGGAATGTCTCGTGAATGAAATTGATCAGAGGGTGATGTTGCTGCCAAACCGATTTACGTTCCACTGGTAAATCGGTTTCAGATTGTGCCCCAATTACCATGCTTTGAAAATTTCATTACCTGATTACGACTACACAGCTAAAGGATAAATAAATGAGAACCTCAGGATGATGTCTTTTACTTGTTATCTGGCAGCAAACAAGAAGCAAAATGAAATGATTATAAATTATTCTCCATGTTGACAAATTTTTCCTGTGGTATTCTGAGGAAGCTAACAGTTATTTGAAGTTTCACAGAACATGAAGTATTTGTTCTTACTGGTATTAATTAGAGTAACAAAGGTATTTTGGGGGGGCGGGGCACGGTCCAGCAGGTGGCATAGTGGTTAAGGTGCTAGACTTTCACATGGTCGACCTTGGTTCAAGTCCCAGACCTGGTGACTTGAAATTCATGCCTGGAGTATGTCCATGTTTTCTACCCATCTAGAGTTTTCTTGTTGAGACCACTTGAAATTCCATGTCCTTCAGAGCTATTAAGGACTCATACCTTTCATGTCAGAAACACTGAATTTGGGTAGGGTGCCAGCAGGTGGCATGAAGGTTAAGGTGCTAGATTCCCACATGGTTGACCGCTGGTTTGAGTCCCAGACCCACCTGCTCAGAAATCATGCTGGGCACCTGTGTTTGCATGCTCAAAATCCTGAGAGGAGAATGGATTAGAAGGGACTATGGCATGGCCATCCCCCCTTGAGAGTGATTTCTCACCTTTTCTGTGTCTCTGGCAAGTACACACAATGTTGGAATATTCACTTTGTAAGCTAAATAATGTGATTGAATGTGTAAAAGGAAATGGAAAAAAAAAAAAGAAAAAAGAAAAAAAAAAAAAAAAAAAAGCCACCTTGTGGGTATATACCCAGAGGAAGAACACAACGTCCTTTTATCCTTCCATACAAATGCTATCAAAAGTTTGTTTATTCCAGATGCTGAAGTGTAACTTTTATGAAATATGCATGGCATCCATAAACCGCCTCCCAACGTCCTATTTCTCTCTTTACTACCCCCTCCATGTTCTATCGTCTTACATAACCGCGCAAGCATTAGTAAACCTTATTATAGCTTACAGGGAGCTTAAAAGCCAGGTGAAGGTGCAGGAGATTGATCACAACAGTCAAGAGTGTCCCCACAGACAGAATCGTCTTACAAAGGACTTCTACCTGAAAAGTCATGATGGGAAATCAGTGGGCAGCCCCCATCTGAATTCGTTTTTTATTTTTTTAAGCTATAGGACATATGCTCTCCAGAGAGAGAGCGAGAGAGAGAGAGAGAGAGAGAGAGAGTGAGAAATCTCAAAGGGGACTCAAAGAGCTGCTTGTACACATGTGGTTACACGAGCATTTTTCACAACAGTGAAAAGGTGGAAGCAACTCAGGAGTCTATGAGGAACAAATGGATGAACAAATTGTTGTAATTGCATACAATGGATTGTTAT